TCTAGTCTTTTCTAGGCGCCCTCTTTTATTGTATATAAGCCCGGCAAAATAGCACATAGATAGGTATAAAGACAGATAATTGAGTCAAGCGAGCAGTAGTGACCGTAAGTAAATTGCGTGAATCGTTGTGAATTATAGCGTGTGTTTAAGTTAAAGTGACTGTGGAAATTCTGTGTATTTCAAAGTTGTATTGAGAAAGAATAAATTGATTTTATTTAAGAAAGGACTTGTATCGCTGAAGTTCCTCGGGAAGAATTTATACCGGGAAATTAACAAACGACCAGAGACGTAACAGTACTTTTGTTAACAAACATAATAATAAAAAAATCATTATGGTGAACGAAATAATAATTTGATCTAAGCAAGTTTTTTCTTCTTCCCGATTTGTAAAAAATCCTTACGTGATAGAAATTAATAAATAATATTTTTGAAATCTGCATAGCTGAATTATGGAAAATCCGTTATCAAACCCAAAACAACTTTTATGAAGTTTAAATTCGCAGGCCTGTTATCTGCTTGTATAATTTGATAAAAACAAAATATTCACAAGCAACTTCTGTGTGATTGGAATTGCTTTAATAAACAATGGTATTCCTTTGTTTCAAGAGTCTCCTTTGATGCTTGCTACTGCACTTCCTCAACCAGCTGCTGTGTTAATGGAACTTGTCAATGGAGGGGCTCATTTAGATTTCAGAATGAAAGATGGGAGAACAGCACTTCATCGTGCAGTAGAGAGAGACAATTACGAGGCTTTAAAGGTTATTATAAGATTCACTTTTCAATAACTATTATTATTGTTTATCTTGATATTTTGCTCAGAAATAATTAGAAAAATATTTATTTTAGTGATTTGCAAATTAGCTTGTAATTGCCATTCATCTTTTTCTAGATTAATCTCCACTAATTTATATCAACTTCTAATCAGAGTAAGCTATTTACTTAGAGTGAAATAAAATTATATTACATTTCATATTTTTTCAACCTTTACACTTTTTAACTTAACTTGTTACACACACTTAAAACTTTCTAGATTTAAAAGTTAAAATAAAAGTTAATTTATTTCTGAAACAATTTTTATATTGTTGTAAGTTTAAACTGAAACATTGATTAAGGCCATAAATATTGTTACGACAGAGGAAGTCACGTGACGCTGCTGGCGTGTTTGCCGCTGGTAGCGTGCATGAAATTTCTCGAATGATCATGAATGATCGGGGAGGCCCTAATGCATTCGAGACGCCCCCTTTGTTAGTATATAAGCATGGCAGAGAGGCCAGTGATATAAAGATAATTAAAGAAGCGAACAGTAGTAACGGAAAGTAAAGTGTGTGAATCACTGTGATTTATAGCGTGTATTATAGAAGTTGTTAAGTTTAAAGTGACGAGAAACGTACTGAGTGTGGAATTACTGTGTAATAAAAGTTTGTATCGAGAAAGAATAAACTGATTTAATCAAGAAGGGACTTGTATCGCTGAAGTTCCTCGGAAAGAATTTATACTGGAAATTAAAAACAAGCAGATACGTGACAATATCGTTAGCAGCGAGGGTACCCAACTGATGAAACAATGCATGCTAATCTTTATAAGTAGGAATGTAAAAAAAGTATATTTAATAAGCTATACTGATTGCCCGGTTGATTATTAATTATAAAACATGTAGCTTTTCATTAGTGAAAACATTCAATACTATGACTCAGAGGTATAGTTTTGAGGAATTATCAGTTCTTATCACTATTAGCCTAATTGGTATACTGTGATGAGATATAGGCTATAGATTCAGTTTTATATATCCATAATTGAGAAAGAAAAAAGTATCTGAGTTGCCATGTTTTCCAACTGTATCTTAGGCTAACTGATATGTTTTAACCTTTTTGGTTTTATAAGTTGCAGTATGAGATACATTAGCTGAGGTTGGTTAGTAAAGTTCATGCCACAACCAGCTAAAGATTTAAGTTTTGAGCAATATAAATTGGATACAATAACAAGTATCATTAGTTGGATACACTGTTAATAAAATATCACGTTGATTATATTTTGTTTATTATTTCTTGAAATTTATATCAGCTAATGAAAATATAACAGTTTTAATTGTTTTTTCTCTTGGGTAAGTATTTATTAAAGTGTTCCATCTAATATAAAATTCAAATCTTAGATGTTGGTTGTATTTAAAAGTTAAAAGGTTTGATGCCACTGGAAACAGCATATTGAAACTAAATAAGGCTGTAGTATAAGAAAGTTTGATAATCTCAAAAAAGGATTCATTGAAAAACCTTTTGTTTTCAAATTCAACTTTCCTGGTGATCTTAAATTTAAAGGCGTACTATGTAAAGTCCTATATATTTTATTTTCTTAAGAATTAGACAAAATCTCAAATATTCACTAACTATACACCTGGAAAAAAGTTAAGCACCCCCATGTTTTTTTCAAGTGATTCAGATTCGACGTTCTTGTGACTGATTATAAATTACCATTCAATCTAAACGTGTTTATCAAATGAAATTATG